CATCACCTACTCGATGGACATGAGTTTGAGTAAGCTCCAGGAATTGGTGATGGACAGGGAGGCCTGGCATGCTGCACTCCATGTGGTCACAAAGAGTCAGACACGACTGGGTAACTGAACGGAACTGAACTGATAGAAGATAATGAGGGGTAGAATTACTCAGAAGGCACAGGCATTTATAATTTAAACAGACACTCAGTTCAGTTCAGTTCAGTTGCTCAGTCGTGTCCGACTCTTTTCGACCCCATGAATCGCAGTACGCCAGGCCTCCCTGTCCATATATAGACAGTAAAGCATTGCTTTTCAGCTTTATGAGATTCTGACACCTCATTATGTATTTTTAGTCTTAAATTTTTGCCAGTCTGATTAACAGTGACATTAAACATGTTCTCCTATGTTTTAAACATTTGTTTGTAATAAGAACTAGTAATAACGATATATTTGTAAGTTAAAATACTGCTTTGGTAAGAAAATAGTAGCTGTTCTTTGTTGTTACTCTTTGCCCAGAGGGAGCATCTGGTCAGTGAGAGTAGTCTGAGGACAGAACTGCATTTTGTACATTTATGTGGATGGGCTAGTGTACTACTGTAGATTATAGATAAACTAACTTAGAGTTGACACGAGCCTGAGATTTGAGTATAATATAAAAATGATAAATGCTTATGTGGTATTAGAGCATTTTGTGAATAGGGAAGCTAAATCTTCCATAGAGTATTAAGGTGTTAGGTAATTTAGCAATTACAAGTACCCTTGAAAATTGGTTCATCAAAGAGAAGGTACTGTATATTGCACAACATTTATATGGTAGTGGTAGAGTAATATAGGTCCTGTGAAATATTTCTAAGGAAATGTGTCTGCCGTCATCCTAAACTTTACCCAAGAATCTTCAAGGATTTCATATTAATTGAAAAACAATCTTTTCCTGTTTAAAGAATGTCAAGCCATTGATATTCTTTAAGAAAAGTCAGATTACAGAATATAAATCTGTAGAGGATAATTAGGGTAAATTGTAGAAAATTGTGAATGATGAGCTAGGGAGCTAGGCAGTTAGATTTTATTTTGTAGTCAACAGTCATCAAAGATGTTTCAGTAGTGATTTCTTCATATATTCTAGTTTAAAAAAAAAACCCTTGGTTGAAATTAAAATCCTTTTAAATAAAAAAATGAGAGCCAAAAAAAAAAAAAGTGAGAGCCTTCATATATTGGAATTTTTATTCACTTCTTGATTAGTAAACTCATGAATTAGTCACAACATGTGCTCGTGATTAGGTCATCTAGTTTTTAACACAGAAAGAATTTTAACACATCATTTTTAAAGTTTTTACTTTATATATTTGGTAAAGAAGCATATTTGTACTTTTTGTACATTTTCAGCAAGTGTTTCATTATAAATTTCATTCTAACAACTTTAGCTGATTTTCATTCAGAAAGAACAAGAGGTAAATTTTCTATTTTCTAATTTTAAACTGTATAAACAGTTTAGGTTGTATGCCAGCATTTAGTGTTTTAAATAATAAAAATTTTCTGGTGTGTTTTATTGCTGTCTATTTTGGAGGTTGAATAAACAGATAATGGGTATTTAACTTCATAAAAAATACTTCATAAGAAAAACAAAGCCTCCACTTAGGTATCTTATTAAACTAACTTTCATGTAATGTGTATGTGGCTTGATAAGCACTTTCTAAAATACTTTTCAAGCAATCAGGTGGTCTGCATCCTGATACATTTGACAGATTTTTTTTTTCATTTATTTATATTAGTTTGAGGCTAATTACTTTACAATATTGTAGTGGTTTTTGCCAAACATTGATATGAATCAGCCATGGATTTACATGTGTTCCCCATCCTAAATCCCTCTCCTACCTCCCTCCCCGTCCCATGCCCCTGGGTCATCTCAGTGCACCAGCCCTGAGCACTTGTCTCATGCATCAAACCTGGACTGGCGCTCTGTTTCACAATTGATAATATACATGTTTCAATGCTGTTCTCTCAGATCATCCCACCCTCGCCTTCTCCCACAGAGTCCCACAGTCTCCCAACAGAGTCTGTTCTATACATCTGTGTCTCTTTTTCTGCATTTGGCAGATATTTTTTGTTTTAACGTGATGTTTATAACAATGCTTTCTACTTTTTACAGGACTTGGAAAACAGTGTGGGTGAGCTTAGTGAAGGACAGAGGCTGACAGCAGCAGCAGCAGAGAACATCTTCATGGGACTTTCCGCATATGTGCAGCAACCTGTGGCTAAGGCAGAGTCTTCAGATGAAAAATGTGCTCTTAAGCCATCATCTCAGCAATGTGACACAGTTGCAGGTATCCACCAAAATACTCCTTCCTGATGTCTGTTAGAATATTTACCTTGAATCCCATCACACTCTGTACTGTTTTCATGTTGAATGCTGTATTCTGTTTTGTATTATAATCTACAGTAGTGTTCCTACTTGGAATTAAGAAAAGCATAACTGTTTTAGGTAGAAGCTTGCAAACCTTCTTTATTTAAAAGGGTATACATAATTGAAAAGTTTGATAATGACTTTTTCTATATATAGCAATGTTTCCCCAAATGTGATTCATGTAACAGTCATTGGTACATGAATCTCTGGGTGTGACATGAGATAGTTTTGGTAATATGTGTATGCCTACTTAAGATTTTTTAGTAGTGATATTATTTGTTTTAATGTATATTGGGAAAAATATAACTAGCACACGAAAACTATCAGAGAACACATCTTGTGTAGACAGTGTTTAGTTCAGTAACACTGTAGAAGTTCACTCTTTATGCTGCAGGAGTTTCTGACTCAGAACTCAGTACACTCGGTGTTATTCTGAAACTTTATTAACTAAACTTTTTGCTGTAACAGTTTGAGAATGAGAGCAGAATAGAGAATATCAGTTTCTGGTATATGTAGTTGATTCTCATTATCTGCAGTACTTAGGTCCTATAATAGAGTCACCAGAAACACTGAATTAGGAAATGCTGAGCCACTGTTCCTAGCGGAAATACGGGGTTAGGTTCCTATGAGCCTGTATCTTATATTTATGTTTATTATATTTATTAATATATATACAACATTTTTGACAATATATAACCTTGCTTTATGTATGTTTCTATTTAGAGGCACTTATTTAATATACATTGTTGATTCATTAACACTGATTCTCATGAGCAGCAGCACTATAACTCACTCCTGAATGAAACTTACCGAGCACATATGTTTTTTCTGTAAGGCCCATCAAAGCTTTTTGCACTTTGAAACACTAGAGAGCACTTCTGCACTATGTTTTGAGGCCATTTTAAAGAGCAAAATCACCAGCAAAATATATAAGAATGTGGGAAACCTGTCACTAAATAGACAACAGAAAAGAATACTTGCTCACAGTGTAAGAGCTGATAAGAAAGCAGAGCAGCCTCTGTTTAGCCTCATCTGCTGAGTTTTGTGTAGGGTGATTCAGGTTTTCACTGCTGTATGCATGCATGCATGTCCACAAGTTGCATGTGCTGTGAGTGTTGATTTCAAGGTTACAAGTAAATTTTATCAGGTGAATTTGCAGAAATGAAATCTTCAGAGTAATGAGGATCAACTATATTCTTATTTATTGATAATCTCATGTTCATTATTGTAGTCTCTTAAATGAAAAGAACTTCTGGAGGCATACAGATTTGCCAGAAATCAGAAAGAAATACATTAGTGTATAGTATTTAGACTCTCAGTTTTATATTAAGCAAACACCTTATCATTCAGAAATGAGAGACCCTCAATACTGAATTTTCCATGGGAATAAATATAAGTTAATATTTGAATTGTTTATTTTATGCACATAGTAAGAGTATTAATTTTTTACAGTATTTTAAATTAGGGTTCAAAATATCATAAAATACAACTTCTATATCTGTATCCAGCTAAGTGTGCAGATTGTGATTAAATATAATTGACACTAGATGGCTCTCACAGATCACTTGAGAGCTGCTTGGTACTTGTGAACAAAGAAGTACTTACTGAATTATTACAGAATAAAATCCATTAGGATGTATCCTATTCAGCCCCTCCTCATGGTATCACCTAGCTGGTTACCTGAAGTCCAGTACATTTTTACTTGTAGGTACTCTGTAGATATTTATTTAATTGAATTGAAAAAAATAATAAGTTCATGGGAAATAGATGGGGAAACAATAGAAACAGTGGCTGACTTTATTTTTTGGGGGTCCAGNAGGGGACGACAGAGGATGAGATGGTTGGATGGCATCACTGACTCGATGGACATAGGTTTTGGTAAACTCCGGGAGCTGGTGATGGACAGGGAGACCTGATGTGCTGCGATTCATGGGATCGCAAAGAGTCAGACACGACTGAGCGACTGAACTGAACTGAATGTGGCATTAGATTAAGTATGTAGATGAGTCAGTATAACAGAGTGACTAAGAGCTTGAGCTTTTGAAGTTTCAGAAATCATTTTAAATTCCAGATCTGTATTTTTGGGCAAGTAACTTAATCTTTCTGAGCCCAAGTTTCTTCATCTATCAAGTAGAGATAATATTAATGTACTAGTTATCTATTTCCGTGTAATAAATTACCCCAAAGTTTAGCAGATAAGACAGGAAATATTTATTATCTCTCACAGTTCTGAAAGCCATGAATCTAGAAGTGGCCTAGCTGCATGGTTCCCAGGCTATCTCATGGGGGTGTAGTTAATCTGTTGGCTGGAGCTGCCATCATCTAAGGACTTCAACTGGGGCTGGAGGATCTGCTTTCTAAGCTCATTCACATGACTGTTGGCAAGATGCCTCAGTTCCTCACCACATGAGCCTAACTGTTATGCTGCTCATGACGTAGCAGTTCACTTTTCCCAGAGTGGATGATCTGAGAGACAGTGAGCACCCAAGATGGAAACCATGGTGTCTTTTATAACCTAAAACCATGTCATCACTTCTGCCACATTCAGTTGATAGCAAAGGCCAATCCTGGAATAATATAGTAGGGGACTACAGAAAGGTCTGAATACCAGGAGACAAGTGTTAGGGGGCTGTAGTGGAAGCTGCTTATCACAAACAGTATCTGCCTCATAAGGTTATTAGAGGTAAGTCAGTCAGTTCAGTCGCTCAGTCGTGTCCGACTCTGTGACCCCATGAACCACAGCAGGCCAGGCCTCCCTGTCCATCACCAACTCCTGGAGTCCACCCAAACCCATGTCCATTGATGATGCCATCCAACCATCTCATCCTCTGTCATCCCCCTCTCCTCCTGCCTTCAATCTTTCCCAGCATCAGGGTCTTTTCAAATGAGTCAGCTCTTGCATATAAAGTAGTTAGCACAATGCTTGACACATGATACTGTTAATCTCTTTAATAATGCTTGGGGAAGGTAAAGATACCTTCTCAAATACATTTAATAGAACCATAAATTACACACAGTTGCCTAAAAAGGAGGTGCCTATAGAGGACTAGTTTGTCCCTCTTGTTTTAAGTATTTAGTTACATTATTTCTGCTTTATTGACTGTGCCAAAGCTTTTGACTGTGTGGATCACAATAAACTGTGGAAAATTCTGAAAGAGATGGGAATACCAGACCACCTGACCAGCTCTTGAGAAACCTGTATGCAGGTCAGAACTCAATAGTTAGAACTGGACATGGAACAACAGACTGGTTCCAAATCGGGAAAGGAGTACGTCAAGGCTGTATATTATCACCCTGCTTATTTAACTTATATGCAGAGTACATCATGAGAAATGCTGGGCTGGAGGAAGCCCAAGCTGGAATCAAGATNCTGACTCATTTGAAAAGACCCTGATGCTGGGAAAGATTGAGGGCAGGAGGAGAAGGGGACGACAGAGGATGAGATGGTTGGATGGCATCACTGACTCTATGGACATAGGTTTTGGTAAACTCCAGGAGTTGGTGATGGACAGGGAGGCCTGGCGTGCTGCAGTTCATGTGGTCGCAAAGAGTCGGGCACAACTGAGCGACTGAACTGAACTGAACTGAATGGTTATTATGGAAGAATGAGTCCCGTGTATCATTATTTCTGCTACTGTCTAATCTCATGCCTTTCATGTTGATTTCTAATAGCTTTGTTTACAGAGGCTCATCTGTTCTTACTTTGCCTGTCGCCACCTCTGCTCATTTTCACAAGATATATTTGTAACTTATAGTCCTATACCACTGTTTCTAATTCTGAGGCTCTCAGGTTGGGTTGAATAACAAAAAGATGCTAAATAAGGGTTGAAGAATTGTCTTAAGAACCCCAAAATGTGAACTGGTGTTTTGAACAAACTCTGAGGACTCTGAGATTTACTACCAATTATAGCTCTTCATTTGAAGGTCCCCTGGAGAAGGAAATGGCAACCCACTCTTGACAACCCACTCTTGTCTGGAAAATCCCATGGACGGAGGAGCCTAGGAGGCTGCAGTCCATGGGGTCACAAAGAGCGACTTCGCTTTCACTTTTACTCAGAAAATGCACTGAATACCTGCATGTACCGGCACTGTATTGGTACTAAATAAGGGTTTTGAGAGACAGAGGTAATAGGTGTCTGCTCTCCAGAGAGTTTACAAACTCATGTAGGATAATGTGAGACAACAATTATAATATTGTTGATTAATGCAACAACACAGGCTGCTGTGGGAGCGCAGAGGAGGAATAACCCACGCATGAGGGCTCAGAGGAAGTTTCCCGGAAGAGCCACTGTGAAACTGAATATTAGAGGAATTAGCCAGACTCTGAAGTGTGATAAACATGTTCCAGTTTGTTCATTTACTTATTCAGAAAATATTTTTTGATTGCTTGCTCTGCTCTAAGCATATTCTAGGTGGTAGGAACATAAAACCTGGTAACGCCTTATTCTTAGTGAATTTTTTCTCTAGTAGAGATAGTATATGAGAAAGCAAAAACATGCAGTAGGTTATTGTGGTTATTGTAAAGTAGTCCAAGTAGGATGGGGGATACAGGTCAGTTGTATCTGGGGAGGGCAATCAAGACAGACATCATATGTGAGGAGCTTACTTGAAATGAGTTCTCAATGATGAATAGGCATTTGCTATGTAGTAAGTGTAGGAGAAACCTTCGTGGCAGAATACCTAAGACAAGGGGATAAAGTTGAAAAGACAAAGAAACTTAAGCAGGAAAATGTAAGTACTTTATTACTGATTCAGAGCTTAGGATGTAATGAAATTGGACCAATAAGCAGAAACTAGGTAGATGTAGATGATAACATCAAGTGATTTTTGGATTTACTCTAAGATATTAGAGATTTATTGGGGTGTAAATGGAAAATAATTCCAATCTTGCTTTATATTTATTCCCATGGAAAAGTCATTTGTGAATTTCTAACAATTCTGAATGTTTTATAATATCCACAGATCCATTAAGGATTGTATATAAATGAGTGAAATGATCAAATTTGCCTTTTCTTTGGCAAAAACATGTGAGGTGCAGTGCGATGGATAGATTGGAGAGAATTAAGGCTGGAGGCAAGGAACCTCTAGCTGAGACAATTATAGTAAACTTGGTGAGTCATGATTGAGCAGCAGTGAAATATAAAAAGGGAGATTTGGTGGACATTTGAGAAGGAGAGTAGACAAGACTTAGTTTGGATATGAGAAATGCAAAAGACGAGAAGATCTAAGAAATCTCCAGGTTTCTGGCTAAAATGATTTGATAGTTGGTATCTCCATTCACTGAGGGAGAGAGGAGATATGGAGGAAAGATAGAATTAGGAGGAAATAAGAATGAGTGGAATTTGAGGTGCCTTTGGGTTTCATACAAGTAATGGAATAACTTACTAGACGTGTAAGAACCAAAGCTGCTGCTGGCACCAGCAATTCAAGCAGACTTGGTCTTCTCTGAAAGTCTGCCATGGCTGCTTTTTCAAAGCAGTAGTATTCTAGAAAAATAAAATTAGGGATTTTATTAGGATTTCAAATTATAATTAATTAAATTAAATTTGACTTGAATGGAATAATCCTTTGACCATCTCTCTTAAAAAGGGATAACTAACATAATTACACTCAATGAGTGTAATTTTTAGAGGTGATGTAGCAAATTCAACATTGTTGTGATTGTTGTCATGGAATCCTTGCCTGACCTCCTATCACTGAGTTAGATACCGTCAAATATTCTCTCTGTGTTGTCCTCTAATGTCACCTGCCTAATGTTGCTCTTATCACACTGATTTGTAATCTCACTTGAGAGTGGGGACTTTATCTTGTCTGCTGTCATAGCTCTGTCCTCTAGCAGAGAATGTAGCATAGTCAGTAAATAAAGGTTAAGTGAGAGAGTGTTTTATGAGCGGAAAGTTATTATGCACTTTTAATGCTTTTGGGAGATGTTTGTTTATACACTTTCTGGGTTTCTACATATAATTTTTTTCTTTTATCACAGTGTCTTATGTCTTTGTAATTAATTTTTTTCTTTACACCCATGTGTCAGCCACATATCATTTTATATAAAAATAAAATGTGATTATATTATATATTACTTTAAATTATAGATTCTTTTTTTTTGAGTGTTCTTGAACTACCCCTCCTCCTCACATTTTTTCCTGTCCCACTTCATGCCTTACCTCAGGTAACACATGTTAAGATTCTGATATGTAACCTTTTAGGTTTTTTTTTCCTTCTGCATATAATTATATGCACACACATATGATATGTGTATATTTGTTGTCATTTGTTGTCATTTTTCAAGTTGAGATTATGTCATGAGTTTTGTTTTCACCCAGGAAACCCTGTGGAAATTACTCCAGGTCAACTAGTATTACTTAAATTCATTCTTTTTATTGACTGCATAAAACCTTTCAGTGTGGATTTCCAGTAATTTATTCAGTCATTGCTCTATTGATGAATGTTTACTTTATTACCATTTCCCCCCACTATAAACAATGCTAGAGTAAATATTCACTCATGTATAGCCTAACATTGGAGAAGGAAATGTCAACCCACTCCGGTATTCTTGCTTGGAGAATCCCATGGACAGAGGAGCCTGGCAGGCTACAGTCCGTGGGGTCACAAAGAGTTGGACCCAACTGAGTGACTAACAGCAACAACAACATAGACTAACATATTGCTGCATTTTATATTTAGGGAGTAGTTTCCCAGAAATAACAGATCCAAGGGAAAATATATTTTAAATTTTAAAATAGTTATGCCAAGTTGCTGTCTTAAAATTTTAAACTGATTTATTTTTATCAGTAATATATTACAATCTTTCCCCTGTATCCCTGCCAGATATTATTTTTATTACCATTTTTATTTTTGTCAATTAAAGTATAAACGTATGACTGACTCCTGGTGAGTTTATATTTGATGGTTATTTGGATTTGCTCTTCTGTGAATTACCTACTTAAGTTCTTCCCCTGTCCGGTTGTAAGTTTTTCTTATAACTTTATGTAAAACTTATTGTGGCTTAGCTGATAAAGAATCCACCTGCAATGTGGGAGACCTGGGTTTGATCCCTGGGTTGGGAAGATCCCAACGAAGGGAAAGGCTACCCACTCCAGTGTTCTGGCCTGGAGAATTCCATGAACTGTACAGTCCATGGGTTTGCAAAGAGTCAGACATGACTGAGCGACATTCACTTACCTAAAAATATAGATTAATGTAAAAAAATAGAGAGTAATTATTTGCTATACCTAAGAAATTTTCAACAGACTACCTGTAAGTGGAAAATATAATATCTGTGAGGTCTTAAAATATCATTTCATTTGAAACAATTGAGTTTTTGTGTAGAGCTTCAGTTCTATTTCTATTGATTAAAATGAGATAGACCATGCTGTACTATATTTAAAAAATGACCATTAATTAGGAAAAACAGAATTTTCTGAAAAATAATTTAGCAAGAATGTGAAATAAGGAACAGTGAGTAGGAGTTGAAAGATGAGGATTTTAGTTGCTGTATACCTCTTAACTAGAATTCTGATTTTTTAACAGTTGGTTAACTTACCTGAGCCTTAGCTTTGTCAGTGAAAGACAGTTATAAAATTATCTGATCTTCCTACCTTACAGAATGATTGTGAGATTCAAATTAAGTGAGATCATGTATGTGAAAGAGCTTGGAGTTTAAAGTGCAATATAAATGTACAGTGATGTTATTAGATAAATATTTGTTTCTGTTCATATTGTCTTCTTTTTATTGATTTGATTGAGATGTCATTTGAATGAGGAAAAGAGGAGTTTGATTGAAGAAAAATATCTACAGAGCAGAGTTAAGCAATACCAACATTTGATAGTCAGGAAATTGTCCTTTGCTTTAAGATTACATTTTATTTTATTTTATTTTTTTCCTTTTTTTTTTAAATTTTATTTTATTTATTTTTTATTTTTTTTTTTATAGGCTAATTACTTTACATCATTACACTAGTTTTTGTCATACATTGAAATGAATCAGCCATGGATTTACATGTATTCCCCATCCCAGTCCCCCCTCCCACCTCCCTCTCCACCCGATCCCTCTGGGTCTTCCCAGTGCACCAGGCCCGAGCACTTGTCTCATG